TTTTTTTTTTTTTTTTTTTTTTTCATACTTAGCAATCTCTTCGCTGATACATTTAGAATAAAGGCGCTTGTGTGGACTTTAAGACTATTCGGAATTCAGAATAAGGGCGCTTATGTTCGGGATGAGGCTATTTTTCAGGGCGCCTACATGGACTTCGTAGACGAGAGGCATGTTACTGTTGATGGTACTTTCGAGGCGCACGATCCGGTGAATAATGTCGGCACCGAAGATTGCGAAGAGAAGTGCCTTTCAGAAGGTATTCTCAACGCCTATAAGGCCTATGAATTCGGAACTTATCAGGTGACCATTTGTTATTCTCATTTTGCAGCACCAGTATCCTTGAGCTTTTTTTTTTGCCGCCATGTGCAGGGTGTACAACAACGAAAGATGTTAGCAGAAACAAACTTGTCAGCTAGCTTCTGCTCATTCCACTACTCCTAGGACTTCTACAGCCCGTTTACATGGGTTTATTGCAAATCCCTGGAGTAATTTTAAGGTAAGGTAAAAAATGAGGGGAAAGAAGAAGAGAAGGAGAATGAAATGAAAAAAAAGGGAAGGGGAGTATTAAAATATTTGTAATCGGTAAGAATTGAAGTAATAATTTTCTATGTAATGTATTTTGCCTGGATAAGGCTTTGAATTTATACAAACTCTTGGTGGTGAAGGGAATACGACAGCCGTAGGAGTAAAATTTCTGTACTTAATACAAGATTATTGTCCGCGAATTGATTATAAGGGAGATTAAACTAAGCACAGGAACGGAGCCGATCCCCTGAAAGTATCGACCGGAGTGACTGTGTCTTGCCCTCCACTACTTCTATGTGAAAATTAGCAATGTATAGTTACGAAAAATAGTCGCTAATGAAAGCAACGAGCGAATGTTGGCTGTGATAGAGAACATTAGTCATCTTACTGCATCTCTCCCTGTATCCTCCAGTGATATCTTGATATTTTCTGACGATACTCTCATAGGTGGATGCTGTTGCTTTCTATGTAAATAAATAGCAACGCGCACCAGACTAGCCGGTGCGATCATGCGTTTTGTGCAATTCAGCCCGTCGAACGATTGCCTATTAATGATTTCCACTGCTTTGTACTTTTGTCTATGCAAAAATAGTTCACAC